GGAACGAGTGGTTGCGCGTGTCCGTCACTGAAGGTGCGCGGAGCAGGGATGGGGCCCCGAGGTGCCAGTCACGGCAGCAGCGTGTGCTGCTCCGTATGTGAAGAAACGATGTGTTTACACTGTCTATTCAGACGGGCGCTACATACACCCCATTTGGTAGTTTCCTCATGGCCCAGGGAGGAATCCACGGCAGGGGAATGAGGTCCCCATTTTCCTAAGCGGGAATAGGCTGGTGGGCACTGGCCGAGACCCGGACTCCGGCAGGGACCGTGGCTGTCACACCCACGTGGCAGAGAGTTGGCTGGGGGAAGGCATGTGGTTTTCAGGCGTCTGGACGGCTTGCCTGGGGTCCTTCCTGAGGACCCAGGCCATGCCCCTGAGACGCCCGCGGTGGGCGGGGGTCTGCCTGCTCCGGGACGGGACTCCGCTCTCAGCTCGACTGCGCTGCCAGATCCCGCATCCAGGGGCCAGGTGCCCACGTGGACGAGGTGTTTCCTTCCCCAAGAAAGGGAGCCAGCATCCTGCATCAGGGAGATGTCGTGGTGGTGGGTAGGAATAGGTTCCCCTTTTTCATTTAATTCTTGCTTTTTTTCCTTTATTTTTTTCCTGTGATGACAGGCAAGCACGTCACAACACTGACTGTCATTTATTTTAATGGAGGTGTTGGGGACGGAACCCAGGACCTCGTGCACGCTAAGCACTCGCCCCCCCCCCCGCTGAGCTGCCCCTCCCCCCACCGCACTTCTACTTTTCCAAATTACCGCGTTAGCATTAAATGTGGAAAAGCTCAGGGTCCTGAAGGCACGCCTTTTTAGCTGCACTCGTAGGTACGGTTCCCCAGTCAGTGATGTCATAGAGGGGCTTTGAATTGCATTTGGCGTAATTTCAGACTTCCGGAAAATGCTTATTTCAATTTCAATAATAAAAACAAAAAGGCATCAAATTACTAAACAAAAAGAACCCAGGAGCACTCTTAACTATTTAAATAATTGAAGAAAAGAATTGTTCACTTTAAATAATACAGAACAACAGAATATTTGGGAACGGATATATTTTAAATAGATTGTTATTCTCCGTTTTCTTAGCTTTATAGGAAAACAACATTTAGTTTTGAGAACTTCCTATGTACACAGTGTAAACATTTTTATAATGTACAGAAATGCATATTTTTACACCAGTATAAAAATCATAAACATAATAATGTGTTAAATCTGAGGAAAGAATCACGACCTTCATAGAATATTTGTGATTTTAATGCAAGTTATATCAATTGGCCGCAATATTCTTATTGTTTCAAAGGGCAGAAACACAGTGCTTACAGTTATGCACTCAGGTGGCCCCAGGAAGAGAAGGGGTTTGGACCTTTTTTTGAATTGCAGGACTTCCCTTCTGTTAAGGTTGGAGGAGTAACACTGGAGGATGGACTTAGTAGTAATCAGGTTTATCCAGCAGTTTTGTGTCATGCATGAAACACTGAACAGAAGAGTGAGGAAAACTAACTCCAAAAGCGTGTGGCGGCTTCGCAGCTGGCGTTGTGACTTGCCTCCTCGTTCTCAGTAGGGTCTGCAACGGGACAGCGCACTTGGAAGCAGACGGGGCGTCCTGAAGGCAGTAAGCTTGCTGGGAACGTTCCAGGCGGCATGGCATCCGTTAGTCTCAGGTGTAACATGCACATGGAAGTTTATGTTACCATTTTCAGACTTACCCCTCCCTCTCCTCACTGTCTTCCTCAAGTCCTGGGTGGCACAGCCTCTGCCACCGCCCCTCACCCCTGTCGCTCCTCTGAGACGCAGCCATGGCCAGAGGAGTGAACGTGGCCGTGCTCCGGAAAACCTTTATTTGCAGAAGCAGATTTGGCCTTGCTTCGCTGACCTCCCTCTTAGAATGTCCCTCTCGTGTGAGGTAAGAAGGATTTTCTTCTCTCTTGAGCCTCAGACCGCCCTAAAGTTTTGTGCGCCTTTAGAAGAGTTGATTCCACTTTACTTCCTGGAAGAAATGGTGTAAACCTAGCGTGGGTTCTTATTTCAGTCTAACTCAACGAGTCTTCAGGAAGGACCTCGCAGGCACCTGCAGATGCTGCGTCTGATGTGGCCCAGCCCCTGGACAGCAGGGGAGACAGGCATGAAGTCAGCATCCACAGTCTGCAGGTTTGGTGTCTTGGGGTAGTTTATGAATGGCCGATGGTACCATGTCAGGGTCGGAACTTCAGGGCCCAAGTGAAAGTCCAGACCTCCTGTCACTGGTCCCCCAGACCCTCCAGTCTTTTATTTGCCGAAACAGACAGAGAGGGCCCCCAGTGCAGCCGAGAGGAAAGTCCTGGGAGAAGTGAAGGACCGTCCTTTCCTGCTGACCGGCTTTGAGGCACCAGTGATTCTTCACCTGCTTTTCACCCAGAAAAGGTCTGACCTCTTAAAAATTAAGAGAAGGCTCCATCAGCAGATTCGGGGCACTTTTGATCCCGGCCGCTACCGTCACAGGTGCGGTGGGAAACCCTCGCCACAGAAGGTTGCGTATCAGATGCACACGTCAGGCCTTTTAGTAACAAGTGGAAAAGAGACAAAGACTTAAGTGTTACGGCGTGAAGTCGGTGCGCCTTGTGCAGCTGGAGTTAATGCAGGCTGCTGCGAGTGGAACTTTGGTGACACGGAGGGAATCTGAAGTCTGGTAGCTGACAGCCTGGGACCCTTGACTGCCATAGTCTTTGGTGGTTAAAACAAGGTCTTACGTGAAGGATTAATCAAGAGCTAACGAAGGAGAGATGCCTTTTATTAACCCAGCGTCAGAGGAAAACTTGGCCGTCTCATCCTGTTTCATGTTGTGTCATTAACATCAAGTCGCAACTTGCTGTTAGGGAATTTTTCATCACATGCATTCAGGGTGAGATGAGCTTAACTGTCAGTGGAAACGATGAGCTCGTTTGCAGGAAGGCTCTAGACCTGCACAAGCAGCCGCGGCCACAGCGCTCGCTGCGCCCTCTTGTCCTGGGGGGTCTGCTCTTCCATGCTTTTAAGGTTTGTTTTTTTTTTTCTATTTTAAAAGAAGACTTCAAGTAACCGTTGTTCTTAGAATCCCTGGCTGGTTTGTTATCACACCCAACCTTACTTTTTTTTTTCTTTTGGTACATTCTGAGGGTGTTTTTTGCTTTTAGTAAAGTTGGGAGATACTGAATTATCAGGTTTACTTTTCTAGGAATTTCTCGTGTAACTGAAAAGTTTATTTTCTCCTCTAATTCTATGTTGAACAAAAAGTCTAAATGGACTTGAAGGGCGTGTTTCGGCTCACAGAGGGTTTATTTCTTTTTTTATCAGAGTTGCTACTAGAAATGCAATTTTTAATGTTAAGAACTATATTATTGCATTTTGTCGTGCAAGTCGGTGTCTGCGCTGCTCCTCATGCAGATATGCCTGAAAATATGAAGTCTTTGTACCTACTGTGTGGGTTTGGATTCTGTTTGGTGCAGCATTGCTCACCAAAGGCCTGGGAGGCCCACCCGTTCCCTTCCGCTGTGCCGTGCCCCAGTCCCACGTGAGCCCACACGAGACTCGGTCTGCATCCAAACCCAGATTCTCATGAGAAATCATAAAAAAGTCATGAGTCAGAACGCACGTCCAGAATGCTGCTCGAGTCTATTTACCAGAGTACATTTACCTGATTTATTTCTAAAATCTTCTGGATCCAGTGCTCACTGCGTTTTCCACTAACGTGTTTGAAATCCTGGAGGCCAGCTCAGCGGTGGTGTGACGTGTCTGTGTTCTGACGTCAGTGCCGCCTGTGGCACTGCAGCTTTCCCCTTTGTCTTCAGGACAATTTTAGTGGTTTTTTAGTGGTTTGTTTGTTTTTTCTTTCTTTCTTTGTTTATTTGTTTGTTTGTTTCTTTCTTTTTTTGTAAAATAGAGCAAATTGGAGGAGGGACCTTTTGCCGGCAGCACTCGTACTCGTTTGCATTCTGATTCCTCCTTTAAATAGGAAGGAAAGGGGTGGAATTAGCGCTGGTCCCCAAGGGGTTATGATCCCTGGCCCAAGGGACTGTATCCTCACATGAACGTCATTTGTCAATGAGGCAGTGTAAAAAGAAAAGGTGGGGAGCGGCCAGGCTGCGTGACGTGTCACATGGAACAACTTCGGTCCTTTTGCTGAAAGTGTTTTCCTTTTTAATCAGTGACTGTATGGATAGGCGTCTCTGTGCCTGGCCATCCTTACACGGCAGTGTCTAAACTGCGGAATGTTAGTGTGCAGTTATATGGCGTTCGAGCTGTATCAGCAAGTTTGCTTTCAGAGGCGTCCCTCCAGGAGCAGGATCAGACCCGGCGTGCAGTTCCGCAGCCGCAAGAGCAGTGCACGGTTCTGGCCGCATCTCTTCTCTGCGTTGCCGCGGCGCCTCCTCAGTTCAGAGAGTGTCTCCCATCTCACTGGTGTTCACTGGACAGATCGCAAAATGAATGATTTGTTCTTTGTCTCTAGTAGAATTAACCTAGATAATGAAATAAATAAAAACTTGCTGGAAATCTCTCCATTCAGAAGCGGAAGGATTTCCAGGTGAAGGTACCAGGCTGGCAGTGTTAGGCTTTTTGCCCCCTAGTCGGCTGAACCATCTGCAGAGGGAGGGATGGTTTAACTTACTTTGAAAGTAAATAAAGAAAAGGCAAACGTGTGCTCCCATTCCTAGCTCTTAGCTCCTGCCTTCATCCACTTTTCCTGGGACACGGATGCGGGATGCAGGATGCAGAATGCAGGGAGAGGAGTGAGGTGTGGTTCCCGGGTGGCCAGCTCCGCTTTGCTGCCGGGATGCCCACCTGACCGCAGGGAGCCTGCTCGGGGCAGGCGAGCCCTGTAGCCCGGGCATCTTCCCGAGCGGCTCCCCGCGCCTTTCCTGCAGCTGGTCCCCTCCTGGCGGTCCTCGCTCAGGGATCTTGCCGGGGCACGTGTGGGAGGATCTCTGAGTGAGCCGGGGCTGAGCCCCAGGGATTTCAGTGGCAGGTGACTGAAGTTCCCAGGCTGCGGAGGAGGCTCGCAGGTCTTGGCGTCCTCTGCATCCACGGTGTGTTGTCGTGTTGACGCCAGGGCCCATCTGCACATTTGAAGATGTGCTGGAAGCCCGGCGCTCCTCCTGCCCAGACGTCTGTCTCTGTGCTGGTGGCTGCCTTCTTGCTGGTCTCCCGGGCCTTAGCCTGTGACGTCACGTGTGTGTGTGTGTGTGTGTGTGTGTGTGCCCGCGTGTGTGGGGTCGGCCTCCTTCCCCAGTCATCCATTGGCTCCCCTGGCTCACGTGTCAGACCATGTCCCTGCCCCTTCCCCTCCCCGGAGCCCTGGGGCGGCTCGGTCCACCACTCAGCATCTTAGGGAACGACGTTCCTCCCTGTCCCAACGTCGGATTGCGTCTCTGGGTTGCCAGCAGCCCGCACTTCTCCTGGGCCCCTGGAGGAGCTTTGTTCTCCCTCTGCTGGTAACTGCGGCCGGGCAGCCTTCGGAAGACAGGTGTTTGCAGAGCGTGGGGCACACCTCAGAGCGTGGCCTTCCTGCCCTGCCAGGAGATCGGTTGTCCTGTGACTCCTGCGCCGGCGGGAACATTGTCCCCATCCGCGGCCACGTGCCTCGCGGAGACCCCGCCCCGGCGCAGAATTGAAAATGATGCTGGAAGCTCAGTGTGCAGATAAATGCGTGACAGTGATTTCCTCGCCTTTTAGCTGCGTTTTCTTTCATAACGCTCGTGCCCAGAGGTCAAGGTTTTCACAATTGTGTTGAACTTCAAAAAAATAAAATTACACGTTCGACTTGGTCAGAGTTGATGAAGTTCTCATGATAGGAGTCACTTCATAGCAATAAAGCGTCCTTAGAAACAGAGTGAACATGTCCCTGAATTTGCAGAGGGTAAAGAGAAGGAAGTTTTCAGCAATAAGTAACCCTCGTTTATATGACTGTGCATTTGAGTTTGAAGGATTAAAGAACTCACTTGCTTAGCTGTTTTCAAGGTAGTGGGGTTTGGGGTTAACACGAGACAATTTAGGCTCATTCAGCTAAACGTCAGTGTAAAAATAAAGTCAACAGAAATCTTCCTGCAAGTGGACTCATGGAGTCTTGACTGCCTCTAGGGGCGAGGGGCGCTTCTCATGAACAGGACTGCGTGACAAAATGCGCTCATCTGGGGTGAGGCGCCCGTCCAGTGGATTTTAACAAATGCTCATATTTAAGGGATAAAAACCTGCAGGCTCTCGCCGCAGTCTCTTAGGACCAGAAACCACAGGAGTGAATAAAGTAGCTGGAGACACATCTTTCCTTCAGAGAAATGTTGGGGCCCTGCTCTCCAGTAAGTGTCATTTGCTGAACAGTTAAATGAAACATTTTAAAGGACATCAGCCTTTTGAAAAATAATAGAAGTGGCACTGCCTCAAAGTGTCACACATAGGGGACTTTTGAAAAAAGTCATGGGAATATACTGTCTTTGTGTTGTAGGCTGACAGCGCGTGTCTGTAAGGCTCCTGTTCTGGGGGGCACCGCCCGACTGCAGAGCAGGCAGGGGCTCACCCTCAGCCTGGGGGCCCGCTGGAAATTTCTGTCTGGCTGGGGATTAGTCCTCTGAGCTCAAGATGAACAGAAAAGCAAGAGATTCACAAAGAATGTAAATCCAGGAGGTGGTGGGAGCCTACAGTCAGAATTCTAAGTGATTTTAAAGGCGTTTTCAGAGATGCAGTTTGAGTGACTCCAACTGCAAGGGAAGACAGCATTCCTGTCTACGACGGGGCGTGACCCGCCGGGCACGCGTGTCACTGAGTAGTCACCAGCATGAGGAGTGACCAGCAGCTTGGCATTTTTGTTAAAAAGCCAAAAAGCTTTAAAAACAAAAATGGGGAAAAAAAAGGGCAGCATGCTATGAAATATCGATGTCTCCAGTTGCTATGTCCCATGAAGGAGGAATAGACACATAGATTAAAAACATGCTGAAAACATTGGGAATTAGGAAGAAGTTAAGGAAGTTGGCTCCTTCAGCCCCGAATGGGGGAAACGGCGGGTTCTGGTGGGGGTCCCAGCACATGTGCAGCCAGCTCAGCTCGAGGGGGCCCGTGGCGGAGGGAGACGGCACAGAACAGGAGCTTCTGAAACCGTGCGTCACCTTAGGCACAGGGTACCTTATCCGGTGGGAAGGGTTTTCCGAGGGCAGAAGCGTGGCCGTGATTACTTCGTCCACGTTCGGACTGTAACACACGTTTGCATCGTCAGTGTGGTTGACAGCACGCTGTGACACGTGTCCTGGTTTTTGTCCTCCCTGAAGCCCTGAGAGGAAGGCAGTGGTCCCTCCCTCTCTGTCCCCACGAAGAGCCCAGACCCAGGCGGTCGGGGGCTGTCGCCAGGTCGCCCGGCTCCCCCTCCAAGGGTTGGGTCAGAATTGTGAGCAGTTTTCTTGCGCTGAAAATAGGACCCTCTTCACGGGCCTCGCGACTCGCTGTGAGTCTAGTCGCTCTGCCCCTTGGGAAACCGGCTGGGAATTCACCCGTTGAACTCGTTTCGGGAAAACGGAGTGAGTAAGAGTTTGCGTCCCAAAGGGGATCATTTCCTGAAAGTGGCACGGATCCCAAAGGCCGGGGAAGAGGGACCTTGTCTGTGTGTGCACGGCCGTCCCACTGACGTCTGTCTTTCCTCTTTCAGAGTGAAGATCTGTCTGGCTCTGTCCCCACGACATCACACGTCAGAGAAAAACGTTCAAAGAGGACACTCAGCGTTTCTTTTTTCTTTTTCTTAATCCAAAGCTGCTTCCTGTTTTCTTTGGGATCTGAGCAATTACCACGTGTGGAAGCATCTGCCACTGTCAGGCGTGGAGCCACCTGCCTCTCTCCCGCGTTCCCGCAGGGGGCGATCATCCTCGTGCTGTTCCTGTTGTGTTTTGTTTCGTTTTTTGATGAAATTAGCGGAAGAAGTGGTTCACAAGAAAATTGGATGTCTTCACGAGCCTTTTCGGTGGTGGCTGGTGTCTTGAGTTCTTCTTTACTTTCGTCCGGGCAGAGCAGGTCTCCCCTCAGCATGCTGGGAGCCTCTACCCACAGGCACTAACGTGGTGAAATCTGGAATTTACTGGCATCCGCTCAAAACTACCACCGTCCTACCTCAGTTCCAGGTGAAGCCGATCGGCGTGGTCGGGGCCGGCGGGGCCTCACGCCCCTCTGCTGGGTCCCCAGCGGCCCTCGGCTCATCCGGCTGGTCCCGTATACGCGGCTGCTCGTGGACTCCAGTCCAGGTACCTGCGTGCTCACTCACAGACAAAGCCCAGTGTGGGACTGACGTTTCTCCGCGGGGATGAAATTTGAGATTGGACTTTGAAGATGAATTAATAAATAATAATTATTATATGTAACTGAAGCAAACCTACTTTTGGAAATCATCAACTCTGTTGGGTAGTGGGGGGTGGGAGGGGAGGGTCTGGGACAGGGGTCAATATCTCTTTTTACCTTTAACAGACTTGTTTAATCTTCTCCATGTAGACGTTTCTGTAGGTACTTCAAATTGCAAAAGCCTTTGATCCTATTTACAGCTCAAATGTCTCTGCTATCCTTAATCTTGAACTTGCATTTCTCTAACCAAAAATTCACGTTAGGCATGTGGGCGGTTCAAGGGTGGTTAAGGATTTGGCTGATTTTTTAAAAAAATGTATTATCTTTACTGTGATGCTGTCACATCAGCTGGCAAGGCTGCCCTGAACAACAACAACAGAACACCAAAAACAAAGACAAAAAGGAAAGGAACGGACGAAAGAGGCATTAATGGCCCCGTGTTATTAATAGATGACGAAGAAGAAAAACAATCGCACAGGACACGTTACTTGTCACAAAAACTCCCGACAGGGCTGCCCTTGTTTTGTGTGTTTTCAGTGTTCTGAGAAATACCAGTATTGTGACAGTTCTTGGCAGGTGTCACTGAAAACTGCTGACCTCGACCAGCAGAATGTCACCTGATCTCACTGCTCCCTTGCCACTGGAGGGGAGGGGCATGTAGAGCCCCCCCTCCCCCGGGGGTGCGTCCCCAGTGCCTCTTCTCTGAGAGTCCTATAGAGGTTACACGAATTCATTGGAGATTTGAGGTGGGTTTTTTTGGAGAAAAATATATATAAATATATAGATATATATCACTATAGAATAATGCATTAATAAAATGAGGCTTTTCTAGAGGAAGACCAAAAAATTCAATGTCTTAAAAATATATTTAATCGCAATGCAAAAGTCTTCCTCCCATGCTGAACTTTTAGAACAGAGGATTGTATTGCAAGACAAAGTTGAATGTAAAGTGACTCCCCTGACCGTTTTTAAGGTTTTCCTTCTCTGGAATCAGACAGCCCAGACGTGCACAGGAGACCACACAACATTAGTTGGAAGGTCATTCTTCAGTGTGTAATATACAGAGACTTTATTGAAATGTATAAAATGTCCTAAAGTTTTGGTTTAGTTTTGGGACTAAGGATGGATGGGTGGTCCTTGCTACGAAACTCCCCCCAGGAGGTGGGACTGAGCTGAGCGCAGCCTCTGCCTTGTAGTTAAGTAGCTTCCCTGTCCTCAGTGTAGCTGAGCTGCCACCCCAGTGGTTCGCGTTCCTCCTGCAACTTAAAACAAGCGAAGTAAGAAGTTGACACTATACTAAATTTCCTTCTATCCTGTACATTTCAAAAAAGGCATATGCAATATTTACATTTTTAATTTAGTTTACAGAATGGAACCAAAATGTATAAATGTTATGTTTGTTAAAACTTCACGATGTATATTGGGTCTTTGTACATTTTGCCTGACTTACCTTAAATTTAAAATATTTTTTGCTATATAAACTTTAATAGTTATTAAACAGTGTTTTCTTTTGGGGTACGTATTGTTTCTGGATATCAAGATGTTAAATATATTTCTTGCTATTGTGACATGACAGCAGACTCTCGCTCTGTCTTCCCGCGCCCTCACGGTACACACGGGCCGCCGTGGCGCCGCGGGAGGCGGGACTCGGCGGGACTGCGGTAGCGTGTCGTGCGTAGTCTGTTCCCATCACGGATGCTCCCCTTAATAGCCATATTGCAGTACAATAAAGTACATTATTTATGAAGCGAAGGAGGCCTGGGGGCTGCTTTTTCCTGTGTGGATGATGAATTTGACGTCAAGCCAACCCTTTCAGTGCTTTGGAGTAAAGAGGTAAATATTTGGCTCCTTAAAGACGCTTGGTCCCCTCTTAAAGGTTTTGTTCTGAAACTAGAAAATACCCCCCGAATCACAAAATTTGCCAGAAGGGGCTGTGTTCAGAAAACAAAGCCAGAACCATGTCATTCACTTCCCAGATACTGGAGTGCTGTGAGCGTGCTGGGGCTGTACGGAGCGTTCCAGACCTGGGCAGGTCTTAATTCCTCCCTCCCTCCTAGCAGCCTCCGGTGGTGGGAGTCGCCAGCCCGACCTACAGGTGAGGAGACGGAGGCACAGGGGGTGCCAGGACTCGTGAGGGGCGCGTGGCTCGGGCGCGCAGAGCCGGGCAGCGGCCGCGGCAGCACAGCCCCAGCACCTGGGCGCCTGGGCGCCGCCTGCTGCCTCCAGGATGCAGAGGACCGGGCCATGCAGACATCAGGTCCTCAGAGCCAGGAGGTACCACTCAGGAGGCAGAAAAACGACAATTGTGTCTTGATTTATCAAGGACAGTTTTACCTCCTGTTAGAAATAATTTTTCTCTCCATCCACCTTACCCTCACATTATGGCCACGCAATGACACGGGTGTCATCTCTTTTGAACAAATAAACCCAGCAATATGGGAGATGATTTTTAAATGATGGCTTTTAAATCACAAGACTGGCAAGCACTGTGTGGCATTTGGGACCTCGTAGGTGGCATGTGGCTGTCAGTGCCCAGACGGACCGTCCTCCCGTTAGGCGCTGAGAAGGAGGTATGATCTGCAAGGTTCAGTGTCCCTGAGATCCGTTAACTACTGATGAAGGGCTGGCCAGGGGAGCTGTGTGAGGCAGGAACCCGCGAACGTGTTTGCTCAGAAAAGCCGACTGTAAATAAAGAAGTGAAGAGTTGTTTCAAAGCTCTGTAGGTGCTGGAAACACTCACTGGAAACCAGCGTATAGACTTGGAGGAGAATGTCAGCTTCAGATACACCGAGAGGAAGGCTGAAAGGCTCACTGCGTTGGTTTGGGGGGAGTTGGGTTCTGACCCGTTAGGAGCCATACTGGAAGATGCACACTGGGTCCTGGGGCTGTCTCGGCACCGTCTCCGGCATCTGTGAGCGGACCTGCAGGCTCATACCTGGTCCCGGGTGCCAGGCTGAACGTCACTTCGCAAGTCTGCAGGCTGACCTGGGCAGGCCGTCCACTCCTCTGGGCGTCTTAACTCCCAGCCGATGGCTCCACCAGCATTGACCTCTGTGTCGTACCGCCCTTCAGTGCCGCCGGCTGGAAGACAAAGGGCGGAACGGCTTCTTTGGAAACGTGCAGTGCTGCTCTCCGTCCCCTCCCAGGAGGGCAGTGCTTCCACGTTCCTTTGGCTGGTACAACTAAGCCAGCAGGACGCTGACGATCCCTGTCTCGGCGCTCACCTCTGATGATGGCCCTGCAGAGTCTCACGCGATGACTGGCAGTTTGAACGCGCTCCCGGTGCGTTTTGCCTCTTCCAGCTTGGTCTCTGTTCCTGCTCCACGACCCCAAAGGACCCTGCCTCGCCGTTGGTAGCTCCCTGTTTTCTGCCGGCACCTCCTCGCTTCCGTGCTCGGGCGCGCGTTGATACTCACGCTGCTTTCATGTCTGGTTCCTCTCGGGCTACTTCCCGCGTCCTCCAGAGTCCTCGAGGTGCTCACGGCTTCTGCCACCACGTGGGAGGAAACCCTACCCTCTGAGCCGTGGTTTCGGCATTTCCTTTTCTGTATTTCAGAATCCCCTCCTTTCACCCTTTTCAACTCTAAAAGCTCTTAGGTTTTGACCAGAACTTGTTACACTTCAAGAAATGTACCTCAGCTCTTGGCCAGCCTCCCTGGGTGGCCCAGGCCCTTTTCAGACCTTCCCATCCACAACCCTGAGTTCCCAGATGACTCCAAAGTAAAACAAAAACACCTAATTGATGGATAGAGTTCCACAGAAGGCACGTCAGATGTACAAGCGCTGTGTTACTTAGGATGTGCTTAGCACACGTCAGAGAGAGTGCAGCTGGACGGCTGGTCCCAGGCGTCTGGGACGCCGGGGCCTATCAGCATCACGTGGCAGGCTCGTTAGACTGGATCCCGGCGCTGACTCCCAGATCTGCTTTTCAGCACCTCTGGGGAGAAGCCCGAGAATTTTCTTTCCTAATAATTTCCCAGGTGATGCTGACTCTGCTGGTCTGGGACCATACTCTGAGGACCACTGAACAGGAAAGGGATGTGCTATCTCACGTAACGAGTTCACGGCTGGATTAATCAGGCAGCTACGTGGCATCGTCAGGGGCCCAGGGTCTTTTCATTTTCCTACTCAGCCAACCTAGGGATCTTAGCTTCTACCTCGCAGACTTATCCGCCCCGTATTGATAAGACGGTTGTAGCGGCTCCCAACAGCACATCCTCCCGTGATGATGCCCCACAGAGACAGTCTCCCTTCCTCGGGTGCCCCGTTAGAGAGACACAGACAGGCCCAGAACCAGCCGCCTCCGCCGGCTCTGCCTCCCTCCCCAGTGCCCCAGACCAGGCTCTGGCCGGATGTTGACACTGGTTCCCAAGAGCAGAGCTGCGCTGTGGCTGGCTGACACTGTAAGACATTCACCCTCGGGCAGGGAAGCGCCAGCAGCCCGTGAAGCACCAGGCTGCGAGGCACTGAAGGGAGCGGTGTGTCGGGAACAGAGCGCTGGGAAGCGGGAGGCAGCTACCGGTGCCTTCAGCAGCAGCAAAGAAGGAACGGTGATCAAAACCCCTTTCCTATGCGTGTATACCTCAAATGCGTTATTCCCGTTCGGGCGCACCTGCTCCCAGTCTCCAGTCATTTTGAAAAACGGATTTCTAGCAAAGTACAAGTGGAATAAAGTGATTACTTTAGTGTGATCAAAACCGTGACCACGATGCTGGCCTGTAGTTACGGAATGATTACTTTCGAGGCCCTGGGCATAAGTCTGTCACTCTGTTCTTCACGTATGTTAGTTTTTGTTACTGATTCGACGAGGCATTGGTAGCTGCTTGATGAAAGGTCAAGATACACAGGCGGAAAGCTGGCCCTCTGAAGGTGCGTTGAAGAGCAAGGACCATTTAGGTTGGAAAGAGGAAAACTGGTGATTTATCGCATCCGTTGTATTAGAGGCTATGATAAAAGATTTGTAAACTGACCTTCAAGGGACAGAAGACACTGAGAATTCATATTTGTTTCCACAAGGAATAGTTTGATGAAAATGAGAATTTAAATACCAGTATTAACATCAAAAGAATTTTAGATTACATTCCTTGGAGGCCTTAAAAAATAGGACTTTGTTAACTGTCTTTATTTGAACGGATGGAAGAGGGGCAGGTCTACCACACAAGTTCAGCTGGCCCTTCCCCCCCGTTGTCCCAGGGGCGGGGGTGCCGCTGTCCGTGGTGCCAGGCCAGCGGCACTTGCGTGCGCTCAGGGCATGGCCTGGAAGCCTGGCCGGCGCGTCCTGGTCCTGTTTCCTGTCCCAGCTTCTCTGGGGGTGAGGACACTCCTTAGCATTGGGTTTTGGCAGCCAAGACATGGAAGCACCTAAATGTCCACTGACAGAGGACCAGATAAAGAAGCTGTGGTATATCTATACGATGGAATACTACTCAGTCACAAAAAGGAATGTAATATTGCCATTTGCAGTGACATGGCAACTTTGACCTACTTTACTTCATGGTAAAACTATGTACCAGAGTCATGTTTAGGAATTTGGAGGAAAGAGCTAAAAATTTGAATGGAAGAGAAGGCTGTTAGATCAATCTGGACCGTTAGCTATAAAATGATGCCGAGAGAGCATCTCTAATTCACGTCCCTTCAGGGGATGGTAAAACGCGGTGCAGCTGAAGTGACAGGGTGACCTTTATAGAAATGCACACATGATTGTGTATCTCGATGAAACCGTTATCTCACAGGGGAAGCCAACCTCCTTAGCCTCGTGGACACAGAGCATTTTATGACCTGGCTTCTGCCTCCTTCTTCTGGATCATCTTCATGGTTCTCCCCCTGAGTTCCACCGGAAACCTTACCAAGTTATGTGACTTGTACCCCGCCGGGGGACAGAAGAAAACAGAATGAACCTGGAAAGAGTGGCTGAACTGGAAACAAATACCTGTGTACCCAAAGACCCCATTTTCTAAAAGATCCCTTGGGAGAAGTTAACGCAAAACATTAGAGGTTGGAAGCACCTTTGAAAATATGCATTTAAACGTTACCGGTTGTTCCCTCATGCCCTCCCCACCCTCCTCTCCTGCCCTCTCCTCTTACCCCTCCTTGTATTTTGTGAGTTACATGATTCATTTGGCACTGCCCAGGTTAAAAAAAAATCTCGTCTGTAATATAATTCACATGATTTTCAACTACCCAACATCTATTTAAGTTGATTTATTTCCTGACACTGGTTTTGAACAGGCTTACTTTCTGACCCTTCTGAAAATGGTCCCAATTTTGTTCCTAAAAACAAGCAGAAAACTCAAAATGCTTTTCAAGAAATGTTATGTTTGCTTTGTTGCCTGAGTCCTCTCATATCTGAGAATATTTTCCTGTGGCTTTTATAGATGAGCCACGGGTTGGTTGGGTGGAATGTTCTTGGTCATATGGTCTTTTTCTCAAGAACATTATGTAGACATCTCCCCACTGCCTACTGGGATTCGGGGTATAGAGATCCCACCCAACTTGATTTCTCGCTCTTACAGTGTTTTCTCTGCTCTGTTTACACTTCTGAAAAGTTCTGCCTTGATCCTTGAAGGTCAGGAGCTTAACCAGGACATGCCTCAGTGCTGGGCATTTTATTTCAAATAATTTCAGCGATTCTGTGAACGCATTGCGTTTGCAGGTACAGAGTTTTCTTTCCTTTTTTAGTGTGTTTCCGTTAATCCCAACCTCCTAATTTATTGCTCCCCACTCCTTTTCCCTTTGGTAACCGTAAGTCTGTT